CAAATCTCTTCTGATGAAATGCTCATTTTTGAGGAAAGTTATGAGTATTTTTCCTTGACATTTTTAGGGACTGTCGGTGAGTTTGAGGACAAAATTACCTGAAAAATTTGAAAAAAAAAAAATATTTACAACTTCTCAATAAATTCTTATTTTATCAGAGGAAATTTGGCAACGCCTGAAGCTCATGCGGCGTTCTTCCGTAGCACTTTCAGTACTTTCATTGCACTGTGTTACTCGGGAGTGCCAAAGGAATCACCAAACAAATTATTGTGACAAATAAGTTCTGAATATTTTGTTTTCATGTTTCAACATCTTCGAACACATTGTTTCGTCTTATTTTCTTCAGAATGTAAAATGTTTATTAATATGACTCTTGACGCAAAAATCGATCCTAATTAAGAGGTAACGGAGCAAAGTTGGGTATTCATCGGTTGTTCTGTCGTCGTGCAATGGGAGTTTGATTTGAGCCATCTTGGATTTAAAGCGATTGGAAAAAGAAGGGAACGACGGATAAAAACTATCGGACGCAACAGTTAACTGAGACATAAAAAGGTTTATTCATAACTGGCATGAGTAATTACAAATAGTTGTTCATTTGGAGTGAATGAATAAAGTTTCTATACGCAACTAATGGTATAACTGTACATTTTTTGGTTTAAATATCCATCCTGCTTTCTTAACTACCTATCAACCAGAGACTATGTAATCTTAAATCAGTTGTGGAGCTATTTTTCTGGGTTCAGGAGAGACCCATGAATTTAATTTTTTCAATGAATGGAATTAATCAATGAAATGCATGTGTAGACAGTTGGAGTTAACACGCTTACCTTCCGAGAGAGCCAATGCTAGATCGTGAATAATCGTGAGTAATCGCTATATTACCTTTATAATAAGAAGCCGTGCCGTTGTTTTATTCGCCACCAACAACTTTGGCATTTTTTTTAATTGACAAAGGATTAAAAACCTCGAGGTTGAAAAATTACTGGCGGAAGACAAATTTTCCGGGTTATAATGTTCCAGTCCACGCGGAAAGTAATGGATTGCTGATTTAAAAAATTAAAATGTTAAGAAATATGTCCGACATGTTCAAGGTCGTGTTCGTTACTTTCCTTGCTGTTTATGCGATGACCTTCTTTACTCTCTTTGTCGCATTTCTGTTTTCCTGTCAATGAAAATGTTTTTAATTTTAAAAAAAATTGAACCTGCCATCGTGCATCAAACATTGCACTAAGAACAAATGGGTTCATTTTTTCCTGTTGATTGAGGGATCATTCTGGAGAAAGTTTCTGATGGTTGATAGGTAGTTAAGAAACGGGTAGTCTTAAAATCTTCCCTATGTATTTCATCATGTAACTTGAAGGTATTTATTAATATGAGCAATGTTTCTGTTTCAATTTCAATGATGATAAGTAACATACACTTGGTATACAAAATTCCATTTCTGATAACAAACCAAAATACCAACAAGATTTTTAAAAATTGAATCCTTAATTGAAAATACCTACTATAAGTTAAAAAAATGAAGGTATTCACTAGTGGTGCGGTTGATTATTTTAGTAATCTTAATAAAAACAAACTTGACGCAATAACAAACAAAACGACGCCATTCGACGAAAGAAAATAGTCGAACAATTAAATTTTAAACAATTAATTAATAGGTAACTTAATATCACAGAAGTACGTAAAAGTCAAACCCTACGTAATTTAAATAGAATTCTTTTTTCAGCGAGTTAATTAGCACTTCTCATAAGAAACATTATTGCGAATTAGTTAACCTAAAAAAATAAAATAGTCGATTGTTTCCGATTGTGAAACAGAGGGAGTTAGTATGCCCCTAAAGATAAGATATTTTCTGCTGTAAAAAATTAAAACAAAGTTCTAAAAAAAAGTTAGGACATTCTAAATTGGTGATCCGATTCAGGATTATAAATTCGGCGCAGCTGTGAGAATATTGCGATTGACATATCTTCGAGTGTCCAATTTTAGTTTCAGATTCGTTACGAGATCACTCTCGGTAAAAAAAAGACGTGAGTTTAACGGTTAGGTACATCCGTTACGATACATTTAAAAAAAAAGCACCGATTGCACATAAGTTTGCCGTCACCGCAGTCTTTCTATAGGCGCTCAAATCCCTGTCATCACGGTTGGTCCTTAATTCTAACGAAAACCACCTGAGATGCACTCTATGTAAAGCGTTCAAATACAGTGGCGTGGCGTGCTTTGCGATAAATCGATTGCTATGCCATTTAAACTTATGAAAAAGGATCGATAAACAGGGTGTTCGCAGCGAACACCTTAATAATCGATTCATTACCATAGGTTTAAATGGCAGAACAATCGATACATCATAATTCACGCCACGCCATTGCATTCAAGTCGGAATTTTGGGGCGAAACAAGGAGATGTCATTCTTTATACTTTGTGAATGAAGAAGGAGACGGAAGTGGTTCCGGTGATTAGCGTATCTAATCAACGTTTCGAATCTCATCAAGCATCACTTAGGAATCGGGGTCAGTGTCTTTCGCAGGAAAAAATGGTCAGTTTCCACCTTTGTGAATTTTTTTTTCGAGATTTGGCATTTTTATCAGAGGTTCACTCTACGGCTTTTTATAAAAATTTACCTCTGATTTTCAAAGCACTGGAAAAAAAAACACATTGGATCTAGAGTCCAGACTCTTGAAAACATTAACAAGAAAAAATACTCTTGATGCAATCGGATTTTTGCTTGAATCAAAACGAAATCCGCTTAAATTAAGAGGCTTGGTTCTTGATTTAAGCTAGATTCTGATTGAATCAAGAGTACTTTTTCTTGTCGATGTTTTTAAGAGTCTGAACTCTAGATCCAATGTTTTTTTTCCCCAGTGAGGTATTGCCTGAGAAATCTGAAATTATCCAGGCTTAGTTACCAAATACGTGCTTAATTTGCGCGGACTAAAGTGATTCGGTTTGAGTTGTCTAGTTGAAAGTTCGGTGTCTATCCCTTCATAAGCGATATACTACGACGGCGTAAGTCCGCAATCACATATCTCGTTTAAGGTGTCTCAAAATCTCCGCCCCTATGTTATTTTTTTAAAGGAGAATAAATTGGCATCATTCCTTAAACATTTTACAAATTTTCTTTGCACAGAGAAGAAAAATCATGGCAGTTTTAAAAAATTGCCGTTGAGCAGTTTTCCGTTTAAAAAATGAAGTATGACAGGAAGTCTGCGACGTCGCAACCGAGTTATGTGATTGCCGACTTACACCGTCGACTAACCAATCAACCACAATTTAGAATACATTTTCTGCACAGAAACAAGGAAGACGGATGAAAGTAGTTTTCCTTTTTTTGTCTCCGATTTGCAATGCATCTTAGGATTATAAAATTCGCATGATACTTTAGTTACATGTAAGATTCAAATTACGTAAGTTCAACACAGTCTATTTCAAGGAATAGGTATGTGTTGAATTTTCCGATAAAGGTGAAAGTAAAAACTATAGGACTGGACTTGATAGTTCGCCGATAAGTAGTGATGATAATGACACCGATTACCTGTGTAGAACACTGATAAAGCAAGGTGACGAGGCATCTGTCTGTGAGTTTACAGACCAAAACGAACGGAACGATTATTATCACTTATCAGTAACCGAACAACTGTGACGTAGTTAAAATGAGCGTAGAGTAATACAGGGTGTCCCAAAGTTAAACCCTCATATCGCAGGGGTGCAAGTTCTTTGGGTTAAAATAATATGTTTTCCTTTTATCGAGTTTCATTCGAGAGTGCCCCCCCCCCCCCCCCCCCCCCCCNAGCTAACAATATGACAAACGAACGCATCTATGCTAAAAGGAACTATGTGCGTAGGTTTTGCGTGCAACATAGTTCCTTTTAGCATAAATACGTCCTAAACTTAAGATGATTTGTTGGGGTTTCTAGCGCGGTTGAACTGGCGTGCGATACCTATATCGCATCGCTCATGTCACAAATCTCGGCAGATTTGGAATTTTTAGCCGAAAGAAGAGGACGATAGCCCCTGCGCATGAGCCTAAAGAATCATTCTAATTTTGAAAAAATGGCAAAATTCAGAGGGATGTTTGGAAAGAACTTCGCATTTGATACAGTTATCGATTTGTATCGATTTGTTTTCGAGTGTATCGGATGCGAGGTTTTTTCCCGAACAGGATCTGCTTTCATTTCTCTGAATCTCGCTAATTTTTTGGTTTGGAATGATTCTTTAGGCTCAAGCGCAGGGGATATCATTGTATTTTTGGCTAAAAATTCAAAATCTGCCTAGATTTTTGACATGTTCGATGTAATTTATCGCACGCTAGTTTGACCACGCCAGACACTTTCACGAATCACCTTGAAGCGGACTCTGACAATAGGTTCATGTGTGGTGGGCTGGTTTGTCAAAGTTTATGGATCGACCTTGACGAGTGTTTTTTGAATACCTAGATAACTATTCTCATTCTCCGATGCGTTAATTGCCTATGCAGCAAAATTGAAGGCAAATGCCCGGTTGACAAAATCCGCCAATTAGTCACGCATTCTTTACTGGCTCCATCGAAGTTCATGGAGCAAGGTATAAGTGTGTTTTTCGGATGGATAACCATTCGCGATTCTCGAAACGTTTGTTGCCTATGCGGCCTAATTGAAGGCGAAATTAAGGCGGACTGCATCTGTTAATAGTTAATCTTACAAATCTTACATAATGATTTGACAATCTCAAGAATTAGGGTAACACTTTAAGATACGCTACTACGGACTACTCAGCCGCAAGGCTTTTAAATGCACGTTCCTCCAAAATATGCGTCTGTGCGGTGACTTCATATCTAAGTTGATTATACGTGCCTACTTATGAGGTTATTTTTAATGTGTAAATTTTCCCGCTAAACAAAAGCTACTCGAACAATGCTTTTCTATATTCCCAGAGACAAGGGACAACATCAATTCATCCAATAAGTTGTAAAAAGATTAGACTGTTAAGAGTGATAGAAAAATAAATAAAGAGGCAACTCTTACCAATTGGTGGATTACTCCTTGACCTATGACAACAACTCCGATCAAAACAGTGCCACGAACTGAAAGTGGTAAACTGCGCGGCCTGCGTCGCGCGCAAATTTGAAGATGCTGATTCTTATCGTAGCGTTAATCTGATGCTCCGTGGTAACTTGGGACCTCAAGATAACAGTAACCTGTGTCACACTAACAAAATACTCCAACAAAATGTCACGGTCAAGTGCTGTGGTTGGTCCAAGTCATCGAATTAACCAATCACAACACCTGACCTTGATATTTTGAAAGCTAGCTTTGAAAGTGTGACACAGGCTATAGTTACATCGCGCGCGTTCCAAGGATGCGTAGGTATGAATCTAGCCTGCTTTTGAGCAGAGGTTTAGTCTAACAACTAAATTAAGCCGACTTCACAAGCTGAAAATTGAGTCGTGACAATAGGTCATCGGTGTCGCTGTTGAACGTTGACCCTCGAAAACCATTTTCAGCTATATTGTTCACTTCACACAACAAATATCACGAATTTGTACACATCTATACCTTTTAATAATATTACGAGTTAGTATAAATCTCAGGCGGCCATTTAATAACAGAAGTGACATGATGGCTGATTAGCCTCAATCTCATCGATCGCTGAGAATTGCGTGTTGTGTCCCTCTTTTCATAGAGTACCTATATTGAGAGAGTATGGCCACTGGGCCCCATGGAGAGGCTTAGGACCCAAAAATGGTGGTGATTTGTTTTGGTTTTTGTGGATGGGAGGGGGGTCATTGCCAACTTTTGACGGTTATCACCAACCGCACTTGCTGCCAACCTTACTACATCTAAGATAATTTTTCTCAAAAATTGCACACGATTAGCCTTAAAAATATGTAAAGATGTCGCAATAGTGCATTTGAGTAAATTTCTCGTTACGATAAGCAAAGAAAACTACATTTTGAGTCATTTTGCATTACATTAATTTATGGCGTCCGCCAATTTTGGGTCCTAAGGGCTCCATTTAGCCTAAGATGGCTGAGCCAATCAGAGGTGGTAACCCCAGTGGCCATACTCTCTCAATATAGGTACTCTATCTTTTTAGGGCTCCACTCAACGGTGCATCGGTGACCTCCATTTTCAGCTCCCATTTGCAGCGTGTGAAGCCGGCATTACCTATTCAGAGGCCTGTTATTTTCAACTTTTTGAGAGACTGTATAGTCACGGGAATCTAGATAGAGACGATGAAAGTTCTGATTTGATTTGAATGAAATCGTTTCTCTCCCAAAATAAGGAGGCTGTCACGGCAAACTTCGATGCTTTCATAATTCAATACACGAGCCTGTGTCACACTATCAAAATACTCCATCAAAATGTCAAGGTCAAGTGCTATGATTGGTCCACGTCATCAAATAAGCCAATCACAACACTTAACCTTGATATTTTGATGGCTATAGCTTTGATAGTGTGACACAGGTCTATCATGACTCATGAGTCACATTTTAATTTCACCAGAATCGGCCTAATTACTGTATTTTATGTCGCCTAATTCCCCTTCATATTTTATTTTTTATGTATTCAGGCAATATCGCGCCTCGAAGCTTTTCCTGGATTTCCCCCAGTGTATGAAAATATACCCACTCAAAAAATCTCAAGGCAGAACTTAGCTCAGTTTTCTTGTGAAAAAGAAATATTGGAGGAACCTGGGCAACGGCTGATGTAGTTAGGTTGATTCTGACTCATGTCGTCCATTCTTTCCTCGGATCATTAAAATTGCTATCTGCCTTTAGCGGTAATTTTTTTGTAATGCTGCCAATCGCACACCGAAAAAAAAGTGATGTTGATTTAACATTCCGAATTTCAACAAATATATGCAAAATATATGCAAAACAGGGCTCACGTCATAATGCACATCGAATGTGAAACCTTCAGACCACGTATCTCATTTGCGGTGTTTCAAAATCTCCGCTCCCATTTCATTTTTTTGAACGAGAAAAAATCAATAGCATTCCTTGAAGTTTTCACCAAGGTTTTCTTCGCACAGTGAAGAAAAACCACGGAATTTTTCAAGAATTGTCATTGAGCAGTTTTCCATTGAAAAAATAAAGTAAGACAAGAAGTCTGCAACGTCGCAAACCGAGAAACATGGTCTGGTACTTTCATCGTCGACATAGTTCCGTCTGGTAGAAGTACGTCCGATTGCGGGTGGACGGTGTACACGCAGAGCACACCTCGAAAATACGGTGTGTACTCAGGCAGGTGCAGCATAGGCAATTTGCACATCGGAACGAATTTGTAACGGTGTAGTGTTTGAAGTATATCTGCGATGTCGAAGGCACTACATATGGTGCGATCCTTTCAATAATCGCGATAACTCGAATTTGCGGTGTAAGCAAATTAAAATTATCAGAAGTGCATCATTTTTGCTGAAAGCTCTACACATGCTTTGATTTTGATAGAGATGTATTTATTCTTACTCGCACACTGTCATTGCACTGCAGCTGCAGCTGTCTAGTCACCGCAGCTGTGAACGTAGATGTTTCGTTACCTACACTAAACCGCAACTAAAAACCCAAATAAGCCAAGTACGTGTAACTATGGTGTCGTTGCCTCGACCGGGCTGTGCTGTGTTGCCAATTGTTGGAGGATAGGTTACTTGCCCGGATGTGGCTACTGCCACTCATGATATTTATCTCTTGTTAAAGTTACTTTGACGGCGCTGATTTCTACTGATCAAAATTCCTTCGACCGAGGGAATTTTTCCGCTAAAATTACTCTGATCGAGCTGTTTATTAGTGCGTAGGGATAATGTGTGGTTTGCTGGTGAAAACGTACACCGAAAAACTTTCTGCACCCCTGAACTAGACAAAATTCTGACTTGAACTTAAGTGATTACATTCTCCCTCGGGAACTTCACAGGAAGTTTAAAGGCGTTCTTATATTTGGTATCTGCCAGGAAAGTACAATATGAGGGGAAATTCAGCAACCTCAGTCGCGGGGAGCCTGAATCGAGCAAAATCCGTAAAATCAATCCTCCTGATCTCTGGTGTTCTCTCCTTAATTTTTTTCTTATTTTCCTTCCATAAAGATCCTTTTTTTCCTGACTTCATCATACATACTAATTAAACGGATTACTTGAAGAAGGGTGTCACCGCCAAATCCTTGGAAATTTAATTTCCGACGGAGTACTATTCTTTAAGGGTAGATGCACCTTACTATCAAGCGATTCTGCAAAAATTGCTCTTCGAACGTCTTTTTTTCAACATTCGATACTGCTAGAAATGGCAATACTACGAGCGGGTTTGTTAAAGAATAGGGCGTATACGACAAAATCCCCCCCTCCCCCACAAGTGTATTTCTTGCCCATTTCTCCGATCCTACTCGTATGATCGAGGTCTTCTTATAACAGACAGTATATAGAACGTTAATTGATTGTTTCAAACAGAGATACGCCGAACTGTTGGAGAAGTCATGTTGTTTCATGTTTTCTCTAAAACCGACTTTTGGCGTTTACGTCTGCTTCAAGTAAGTCGTTCAATTCCAAAACCGATCTCAAAAGACGGCCGTGAATCCGCCCTACTACCCGCTTGGCACAAGAGGGATGGGCGCACAGTGGAAGAGGCAATAGAAGCGGTCAGGCACAATTTAAAAACTTCAAAAGTTGATATCTTCCTTAATACAAAACCTAAAAGTTCGAAAGAGTTCCGATTGCTTTCTTGTGATCGACTGGGAGGCTACGCCCCTGCGTTACACGTCACTCTCTGATTGGAGAACATTTAGCAAAAAGGAACCAGCGCGATTATGGTGTTTTCAAATTCGTGCAACTTCTTCTTTCCTTTTAAAAATACTTAATATGCGTGTTCAGTATTAAAAATTTACACGATTATTTTCCTTTCAAATTAACAATTTTTTGGCGGGAAGCCAAAACTATTTGCCATTCTGGGAAATTTTTCGGATAATAGAGAATTTGCAGGTGTCTGAAATTTGGTGAATATCGTATCCAAGTGGAAACGACTGAGTGAGCTGAAAACGAGGATGCCCTTTGTTCATAAATTGAACAATTATTGGCGCAGATCCGACAAAATGATCTAAACTGCTAAAATACATGTGTGTAAACGGGGAATGCCGCCTGATGACGTCACTAGGCGGTGTATGTTCTCATTTTTAAATCTATTTTTATACTATTTCCCATATCAGAAAAAAATTATAAAAATACCGCGAAATCAGCTCTTTAAGCCCTTTCAGATGAAGCAATAAAAAATCTGCATGCCAATTCTCCATTATGAAGAAGCAACATTTTTACAACGCTAATTCAGCGCTGGTTCCTTTTCGCTAGATGCGATCCATTTAATAACATAAAATATGATTTTCTCCGAGAGTCAATTTACAATTTTATAATGTGATGAAACAAAGATATAAAGGTGGAGTTTGAATGGAAGATTTCATGTGGAATCTCTTGGAGCGACTCGTTCCCACTGCGCCGCGACTCGCCTCCAGAGGCGGATCCAGCAATTTGGCAACACCGGATTCCCTCCACTTAAACCTATGTTAAATAATCGATTCTCATCTGAGCACTGACTCCTCCGAGAATCGATACATTTCCATAGGTTTACTTGGAGGGAAAAAATGTTGCCGATTCGCTGGATCCGCCAATGCTCGCCTCGCAACGAACTACACCTCCAGAATGACTGACCAGTGTTAGAGACCCGTAACGTCTTGAAGTTGATATAGGTTAGGTTTACTTGGGCTCACACAGCACGCTGCCATCTAAACCCATGTAAGACACTGCCCACCTTTTGCCCCAACCAAGTTGAATAAAGTGATAGCAATGAAAAGACGGCATAATAATCGCACCTCAAAAGGTCTTCTTTACTCCAAAAATAGGAAATTTGAAAGCAAACCTCAAAATAATTAAAGTTTACAAAGGTTGAAATTTTCACATGTGATCCTTATGTGCGAGACGCGGCAGAAACGGAGATTGAGGTTAGCTATACTTGGGCTCCCACCCCCTCCTGCCTTTAAAAACCGTCCCATGCGCGTTACGCAGGTTTGCTATCTGGCGGCCATTCTAGAGATGTAGTTCGTTGTAGAGTCCCTTTATACCCAGAGTTAAGACAACTCACTTTTGGTTGGGCTGAAAGTGGCCAAAAAAAAATCCAATTCTGATTGGTTCTCGCTCATGGAGGCCGAAACGAGTGCACCAAGATGGCGGTACCTCGAATGTGAACAAGAATAATGAAAATATTACCTATTTGTGGTTTATCAAGAGTAAATTGTTATTGCCATCGGTCCAAAATGAAAATCGATTAAGAAATTATTCACAAACCAATCTCATTTTCTTTTAAATTGATCAATTTGTTGATGTTGTTTTTGTGTGACAGACATCGTAGGATTCCTGATCATTATCCCTCAATATCGTTCGTTTGGGTGCACTCGTTTCGGCCTCCATGGCCAGCCAAGGCCGGCTGCCAGTCAGCTGATAATCGAGTTGTCTTAACTCTGGGTATAAAGGGACTCTAGTTCGTTGTCGCCTCGCCCTCGCCGACAGCGACGGAAGCATGGAAATCATCTACGGGAATCATCTCACGTCCGCAAGTCCGAGACGAAACCTCTCGGAAGCTACTCAAGTGCCGGCCACGAGGCCCGGGGGCCCTCAGGTCGGGCCCTTGCTCTTGAGCGCCTTGTAGAGCTTGCTCTTGAGCTCCGACTCGGAGAGCTGGCACAGCGCCACGAGCTCCTCCTTGGAGAGCCGCTCCAGGGAGCCGCCGGCCTCCGTCTCCGTGCTCCGCGTCACCCTCTTCGGGACGTAGGACACGATCTTCGGCTTGGTCGACTCCTCCGCCGGCGGCGACCTCTGGCCCTCCTCCGGGATCTCCACCTCCGTCCTCGTCCCCGCCGGGATGAAGATCTTGATCATGTGCTCCGTGGACTTGTCCGAGACGTTGGACCAGTTGTTCCGGTCCAGGCTCGTCTCGCCTTCGGCTCCCTCCTGGAGCACCCCGCGCTCCGCCTCCGGGCGGCTCCTCACTTTATCGCTACTATCACAGTTAATCACAACTTTGGGGGTTTCCGCGGCGTCGCTCGCCGCTCGCGTCGGGAACTTCTTCGTGAAGTTCGGGGAGCTCACGTCGTAGGTGAAGCGCCGCGCCGCCACCGGACCCACCTGAAAGAAGAGGAGTAACAGCACGTTAACGAGTTGTGACAACGTGACAACTTGTTATTGGGGGCGTTTCTGTCAAACGGAACTATGAGCACGGAGAAAAAAACTTCGTGGGTGGGACCCGAAGTTTAGGTCATATGGATCTCTGAAGTTTTCGGATTGAGCATCTGAAAAGTTTAGATCTAGCTGTCGAGGTTCGGATCACAAATCTGAAACTTCAGTTCTTACATCTGAAGTACTTCAGATGTGAGAACCGAAGTTTTTCGGATGTGAAAACCGAAGTACTGCAGATGTAAGAACTGAAGTTTCAGATGTGTGATCCAAACCTCAGCAGCTGGACCTAAAGTGTTCAGATGTTCAATCCAAAAACTTCAGAGATCCATATGACCTAAACTTCGGGTCCCACGCACGAAGTTTTTTTCTCCGTGTGCATTATGACGTGAGTGCTGTTATGCATGTATTCTTATTGGTCTCGGGGCTCATGTCTTAATGCACAAAGTTCCGTTTGATGGAAATACGTCCTATTTTACAATGTTTTCTGGCTGATTAAGTCGATTTTCATTCTGAGGGCAGATTGCCTAAGAAGGTACTAGATGGGGTTCCTCCTGGGAGGGGACGCAGGAGGCGTCCAGCAAAATCGTGGATAGGTGGCATTCAAGATGAAATTACAAGATGCCATTCACCTGATGACCTCTGGATTGATAGACAAGAGTGGCGATTAGGTGTCGCAGAGCGCCCGGGCGCGCTGTAAAAGCGACTCGAATGAATGATGAAGAAGGAAAATGTTTACAAGACTGTAATTGAGCAGGTTCCTTTTTGGTGAGTGGGATGGAATTTCAACTTACCTCACGAGGGGATCTCGGGGGTTCCGGCGGGAGCTTGGATCCGAAGTAGAAGCCGGGCGAGAGGAGGTTGGGGCTGCGCGGGGCCTCGGGCTCCGGGGGCGGGGCCTCCGGGAGGGTGGTGGAGCCTTGGGGGCTGACGTTGGCCGAGGACTCGCCGATCCGCTGGCTGGAGCGGCGGGAGTTGAGGTCCGGCGGGGAGTTCTCCTCGTAGCCGTGGCTCAGCCGCCGCCCGACGGCCGACATCTGGCACTCCAACAGCTTCCCGCCCCCGCCCGCCGCGCCACCTCCGCCTACGCCAGCCACCCCCATGTCCGAGCTCAGTCGCCGCACCGTCAGGTTCCCGGAACTCTTCGAGCGGAAGAAGTCCTTGCTCAGCCGACGCGCCATGTCCAACCTGCAAAAGAACCAATCCATTTAAAAATAAAATTCTAAATTTTAAAATTTCAGTTTTTTCGAAAAACCCCAATTTTAAGTGGTCTAAAGATTAAAACTGAAAAATATTAAAAATCTTCAACATTTAAGGTGTGTTTTAAGACAAACCAAGATTGATTATCTCAATTAGGCGAGGAGATAGAGAGGTTTAAAAAAAAGGGGTAATTTTTGCACTTTAGGGGGGCTGGGGGGGGGGGTAAGCTGAGGGGGTAAAAGTGAGGACTTTTTGGAAAACACTATTTTGAAGTATATAATCGATGGTAAAAAATTCAGCTTTTTTCTAGTTTTTTCCACTAAAATCCCTTCGTTGACTGGACTAATTCCTCATTTTTTCCAACTATTTTCTTACGGTGGCAATGAGTTTGTATACCGGAAACATTTCTGGAGTCTAGAGAAAGATTTGTAGGCAAAAAACTCACTGATTCTGAGTCTTCATGACCACACATTTAAAATGACGAGTATTACAAATAGGTACCTGCTAGGTGATAATCTTCTTTGCTGCTTCATCAAATCTGGTGGACTTAACAGAAGCTGGGGACTTCGATTGTTGTTATTTAATCTTTTATGCTTCTTCTTCGGACTACTTTTGTTGTGTCCCGGGCCGTCATAATCTTTCCTTTCTTCTTGCTGAACCCTAAAGACCGCATGAATTAAAGCACATCGATTAAAAAATGAACTTGACCAAAAATTGGAACGAGATAGCTTTGGTGAAATTAAAAAGGGCAGGTCTGCATTCTTTTTGTGAAACCGTCTGTATACATAATCAAAGTGTACGTATCATGATATGATTAAATGAGTCTCGATGGATCTGCTGCATGTCTGACTATTTTCTGCCAATAAAAGACGAAGAAAGAAATTGAAATGAGATTTTTGCACTTCAAGCAATGGATAGTTGTTAAAAAGTTGCCATTTTCAAAAGATAGATCATTTTAGACATATTTGTAAAATCAAATAAGCGAACCTCCGGATTTCTTGAATCATTTCAAAAAATTGTCCTTTGCTTTTGCGCCTCGTTCTTTGCTCGTGTTCCTTCTGAAACAAATAAAAACATAGAGAGGAAAAAGGTTCTTCATTGAAAATTGGACATACTTCCGTCAAACGGAAATATGTGCATTATGACGTGGAGCTCTGTTATGCATATATTCTTACGGGTCTCGGGGCTCATGTCTTATTGCACATAGTTCCATTTGGTAGAAATACGTCCAATATTGAGAGTCAAAATAGTGCACGCAGTCCGATGAGGGTACGTATGAAATTGATTGCGAAATAATTCGACTAAATACAATTATCAGAGGTAATAATTTTTGTATTTAAAAAATTTCTAGTATAAACAGAGCACGAGGAGTGTATCTTAACATGAGATTGAAAAATATTCAAGATCATCAAGAATTAGTTCCTCAGAAAGCATTGGCGGATCCAGCGAATTGGCAACATTGTTTTTCTTCATTTAAACCTATGGAAATGTATCGATTCCTGGAGGGGCCTGGTGCTCTTACAAGAATCGATTATTTAACATAGATTTAAATGGAGGGAATCCGGTGTTGCCAAATTGCTTGATCCACCTCTGTCAGAAAGTGTCAACCGTAGGGGGCTCATTGGCTTATAAATATTATTACCTAAACGTTTAAAAAATAAGAAAAGCAAGCTCAAAGAGATATACGGACAGACCAAGACTTTGTTCCATAAATCCCGTAAGAAAAATAGAAAAAAACTCACTCGTCTGACGCTTTTTTGGAAGAGGCTCGTGATTTGTCCTTGCCGTAGAGTGTGGACCAACTCCCTCGCCGCGTGATGAGGTGAAACTAGCTCCACGCAATTGATAAACCTATAAAGTTTCTGGAAACATTCAACAGAAAACATCAGTCAAAAAACTGCAATTGGATCAAAATGACCCATCAGATAACTTAACTTTTTAGGCACCAAGAAATCCCCGGCCTCGCAAGAAATTTGCAACCCTGCAACCTTTAGGTAACAGCACACATATACGGCCGTGCTGAGGAAAAACGCCATATGAAATTTCAGGCGTTGCCAAATTTCCTTGGATAAAATGTAAATTTCCTTTTAGACTTATGAATATTTTCCTCCCAATTTTTCAAATAAATTTGTTCGCAATTATTCACCTAGAGATTCTGAAAATTTCAAGGAAAAATATTCGTGACTATCCTCAAGAATAAGCATTTTATCGAAGGAAATTTGGCAACTCTCGAATGTTCATACGGAGTTCTTCCTTAGTACGGCAGTATAGTTTTTAATTCATGATTGATTTTAGAGGGAAGTGATTAGACACATGAATTATGAGGCTCGGATACAACTATTCGCCCTCAATGGGTAAACATTCTTAGAAAAAGAATCTGTCCGATGCCACAGCATTGATACAGGTACATACATCGTTAATAGTCAGCCGGTGAGACATCAGGAGAGATCTATTCTTCTAATTCTAATCCCAAGCTGTTGGCTGGCTCACTGTGCAATTCCAAATATTTTCTCTTGAAAAGTGAAATCAACTGACTATATTGGGGTGTTTTAACTTCTGAAGGTAGTTTCAATGAACATTCAAGAATTTGGATCTAGATTAAAACTTCGATAAAACCGTAGCTACGGTTCTTCCCAGGTACAGCGAAGAGTGTGGAAAAAGCCTTGAAATGGCCTCGAGAAAAAAAAGAAAAGAAGCTACACATATACTCACTTGACTAAAAAACATAATGTTCCTACTTCGCCAAATTGTTCCTTTGGGTTTTTGTCGAAGAATAGGCAATGTGTGCTTATAAAAAAGATGCTCTATGAATAAAATTACACAGCCGACGGCCATACCCAGTCCCAAAAGCAGGAAGACGCCTGAAAGCAATCCAAAACTCTGTTTAAGTTGGTGTGATTTTTGTTCAAATTAAAAATTTTGAAGATGAGGTATGAAATGAACATGATTCTTAAGAGAGAAAAATGAAGGAGACGTTGCAAGAAGAGAAGAAAAGGATACGTAAATAGTGGTAATCAAGTAAATAATGTGAAGAAGAAAAAGGAGGGTAAATAATTATCCAAACTGAATTCCACACTGGATGGGTCAGTTGCGCTGGTCACAGAATCGTGTTTTGGTACTTAATTCTTGTAGATTTGCTATAAATAATAAAATCTGTCCCAACAGCAACTTTTTTTGTTCAATATTAACCGAGATATCGCCCTTTGAAAAATTTGGTTTATGGCGTCATCCCGCGGTTATGCATACCATGATCTCTTCCACCTTCACTGAAAAAAAAGTGGAAGTTGGATTGACCATAATGGTATAGTAAAAAAAAATATGGTGATAAAAAGCCAAATAATGGTCGATTTAAGCATCTAGATGAAAGTGAGAATCATACTCGATATAAAAATTACCATACCCGGATTGTAAATATCAGTTAGGTGTGTCTGTCCATCGTTTAGGTATTTCTCACCATCAGCTGGGTATTTTTTTACCATACGATGAGTTAAAAGTATGGAATAACATGGTAACACTTGCGTTTGATATCTGTAGGCATCTGTATGCGACTGGTCATGGTGTTGGTAGGTTAAATCATAGAATAATAAGGCTACGCCTTAGCGCCTAAGGCGTTAGCTTTATTATTCTATGGTTAAATTTACCATACTGGTATAGTCAGCGTGGTGAGAGCTCCCGCTTGACTGCGCTGCGGTCTGTGGTCCGCCATTTTTCGTTTGTCTGTTTGTCAGTTATAAATTTATCACGTTGAGGGTCGGAGTCCGTGGCTGTGTTTTATTGATCCATATTAATCCATGTGAATCCACGCGTAATTTGCCCAAATTTGTGTTCGAATTGTCCCTAAAGCTACCGTCTTCTCTTCGAATCTATCTATATTGATCTGCCACATACATTTTCTGAGATTTTTTCGTTATTCGTATCGACCAATTTCTGGAGGTTAGGAGTTGCTACAATGAATCTGGCTTGCAAAGTGAAGGAATCCTGAAAATTTGAAAACCTTCGCAAAGTTGTTCTGCAATCCAGTGAATATCGGTTCTGTGTAAAGTCATTTCGAAAACATAAAAGTGCGGAAGTAATTTGAAAATAATCGACTAGAAGTGATTTTTGAATACTTCGTTCGTAGGTATATCTATATTCTTGTTAAAATTTTCGAAGCTCAACATACTCAGATGAAGAGACAAATGTGCGTGGGATTGATGTTTAACTGTAACTTTAAGCAAAATTTGGCAGCTTCTGCCCCACCGTGAACCGTGCGATTGGATTTTCATGTAGTGTCTTTTTGTGGGTATATTTTGAACTATCTATTTATTATATGCAATTAAATTTTCCGTGGATCTGATTTAGTCTGTAAATGATACCTTAACGCGAATAACAAGTATGGTTTTGGTATCATTTACTTGAAATCAGTGAAGCAATTATCTGCTATTTCTCGTTGAAACTGTCTTTAACTGCCATTGATTGTGTATGTAACGGAATTTCTAAAAGTAAGATGTAAGTAAAATATCCACGACTTTCATCAAAAGCATTTAATAATATAAGATGAGTGGATTTTAGAATCTACAAGGTTTGTCGCAGCATCTGGATGCTTGAAATTACCATACTAGTCAGTCGGGAACGCCACACTGGCACTGTGTCGCATAGTGTCAGCCGTATCGTGTTATTTACCATACCGGTATATTGGTAACTATGCTGCAGCTTCACTGTGTAAAAAATCAAGTAGACAGTATGGTAAATAACACCCAAACTCTGGTAAATCCCACCGATTATTTTTTTCAGTGTTGGATTCATCGACCGGCGATACACTCATTTGCACTGGTTGCTCTAGCTGAAACTCATATGAAAGCAAGGTGAAAGAAACACAGAGTGTCACTGCTTCCGTAGATGACGTCACAAATCGAATTTTTCAAAACGCGATGTCTCGGTTGATATTGAACAAAGGAAGTTGCTGTTTTGACAGGTCTTATTATTTTCAGCACATTTGCAAGAGTCAGTGATCGAAACACGATTCTGTGACCAGCGCAATATACCCATTCTTTCATCACAAATAAGTATAGAATAAGAAGCCGGCAAGGTTGGACTAGTGGTCACCGCGTCTGAATCTAGGTCAATAGGTCCCGGGTTCGAATCCCGGTGGTGGCTTCTAATTTTCACGGAATTGACGAGAAGATTCTACTCGGCCCTAATCCCTGAAAATTTGAAAAGCCTGGAGCATGGATGTGCCCAAATCCCTCGATGTCTACGCCCTGGTAAAAATTGGCAGTAGAATTGTAGCGTTTTGCCGGCAGCAAACTTTTCCCGCCCCAAATTCAGACTCCGACCGGTTGTAGCCCCGACTACCTCAGCCCGTACCCTGGCGGAGGCGGTCGGAACTACAACCAGTCTGAGTCGTCTCTCTGCGCGTCCCTTTTTCTGCTCTCGCGCGTCGCGTGTTCGCTCAGTGTTAAAAATGTGAGTATCTTTCTAGAAAGCCATCCTTTTGGGTGGCAACTTAGTGTTTCCCATTCAAGATGTGAGTTGTGGTGACCGGCAGGCCACGAAAGCCAGCCCAACTTCACTTTTTCTTGTTTTTTCAGTCTTCCCTGTGGTGTGAAACATCGCTAGGCGATGCTCCACCCTCATGGGTATCCCCTTCCTTTTTCGTGTTGAGAGTCTCGTTCCAGCTCAGAATCTGTGTTCCAAAATACCATAGACTAGCCGGCTGTAAGATTTCCAATAGCTTCTATAGCCGGCTATACAATTTCTTATAGCCTTTCACAGCCGATGGCGATTAAGCAACAGCCAGGCGATAAAGTGTATGCTAAACGTTACTAATTACGGATGCTAGGACTTGGTGAGTTTTTGGAATACTGCTCTCTTTTTGGGCCGTAGTATCTTGATTTATTTTGTGAGGAAAGCTCCGTACTTTTGATGGATGCCTGCCATTACTAATATATTAGAGCGCCTTCAGTTTCGTATGATGCTGTGCAATACCTCTGGTGTGAAACAGTTGCTTCAAGCGTCGCCGTGGCACGCTGCGGCGAGGCGAGGCGGGCAGAGAGCGCGAAACGCGCATTGGCGCCTACAAACCTAACAGGGATACTTCACGCATTGCGCAATGCGTGAAGTATCCCTGTTAGGTTTGTAGGCGCCGCCGCGCCGCTCCGCTTTGTGTTAGGCTCTAATATTTAATCTGGCGGAGTCAGCGTTATTCAACTCATGATTTTGAAACGTTTGCACATCCTATATGGATTATTCTCATTTTAATTGATGAAAAAAAATATGTATTAAAGGAAAATATAATGTGCGTTTTGTAAGTATTGAGGTGGTTCCGTATCAAACTTAATGATTTCCAAATCACACGAATTTCTACACAATTTCTTATAGCCTTTTATAATCGATGGCGAAAAAGCAACAGCCAGGCGATAAAGTGTAAAGCCCGGCGATAGGAACTATAGCCCGGCTGCATAATTTTTTATAGCTTCGTATAGCCCGGCCGTATGATCTCCTCCGCATTCTACAGCCAGCTATATTATTTTCTGTCGCCCTCTTTAGCCGGCCATAAGAATTCCTATGGTATTTAGAAAAGCAGCTCTTATCGCCAATTTTTACTAGGGCGGACAATAAACATAGTTTAAAGTTATCTGAAGAAGGTGCTAGACACGAAGCCATAAAACCAGCAGAAAAAATAAAATAAAATAATAATAGGTTAAGAAAAAAATCGCATTCTTGATAAAGATGATTTTCTAGCTCACCTGCAACGGCAGCTATGCCCAGTGGTCGAGGCTGAGCCATATCCGACGCCAGCTTAAAGCAGGGTAGTCCTCCGTACCATTTCTCAGTCAAAATATCCATGTATCCGTTGCTTGAATACTTGGCTATCACAGCAGAAACGCTATCCTGGTTTAAAAGAAATCAAATGCATTTCAGAGGTTTACCAAAATCTAATAATAATTCCTTGTTGGAAGCGCTATGGAAAGTGCTTGATGAACCATCCCAAGAGGCACAAGTTGCAATAAATTGCGATTGCGGGGTGGTTTATTATTGCTGTTATATCGTAGTGCTGTGTATTTTGCCTATCTACCAATTGAAGGGGCTTCCAAAGCAATCGAGAGAAGTTACAATTTGTGGGTGCGTATCTTTCTGAGAAATGGGTCTCATTTTATTGATAATTTGAAGTCAGAATTTATTGACCAAGTGATGCAAAGTTATTTAGTAAAAGAATTGAAGTTTCTTTGCCATGTAATCTGACATTTTCATTTTACAGTAATTACGGTGCTACTTGGGTTGCAGGGAAATATCAGATTTTCATCTGGGATGTGGGGTTCCAAATCGTGAGTAAGGAAACAAAGAGACATTGAGTTTAATCAAAATTCTTCATCTGATTGGAGGGCTTCTTGATGAAGACTGGATTTGGGAATTGAAAAATTCTAACCTACCAAATTGGAAAATGAAAAGCCGGCACCGCGTATTTTCCCATATTTTGGCAAATCGTCATATTCATACCTGCAGGGATTGCTTTTTTGTCGCCATTTTCGAATGGTGTCGTTTGAACAATATCATTCTAGGTTCACAAAGTATTACGGCCTGAGTGAAAGGTATACTATGTGTTTTGGTGTACATGTATAAGATTGTGCGAGACCGTATTATTTGGGTCAATTATGTTCACTTATCTCTTTCGATGTCTTTCAACATTCTCAAAGACTATTCTCTGGTTTTCAAGGTAATGGTTATACAAATTTGAATTCTCTACAGTGCTGGTTTTAACACATAGATCTGAAGTTAAAGCAAGTTAAAGCTATGTATATAGGTAGGAGACATGCATACCTTGAGTGGAAATCCTTTCGTCATACCCACTGCATAAGTATCCTCGTTGATGGTATCCCCTATTTTTTGCAATTTGCAGCCATGGTCGGTAGCGCGGTAGTAATCTAAAATAGGGGTGTCCGCAATGAGGATATCCAGACTTCCATTCCTTTCGCAGTGAAGAAGAGAAGATATAAATATTTTAGTATGGACATTTTTTGGGGGGAAAAATAACTGAAGAAACAAGAGGATGAGAAGGGGGGAACCAATTTTCCAGAACTTTTTCTCGATTTAAAGTTAAAATTTGGCACACGGGGCACTTATGAAATTTGAAGTTTTCAATGTTTTTTTTAATAGATTTGTCTGACCGACTGATGATACCGATTTTAATCGTGTATCAATTATATTCAAACAATTTTCGTCGAATGCTGGCAAAAATTTTGGAAACGACGAATGCAACGAAACTATGCTAAACATATTCTATCATTACACTCATGAAAATCGTATGGCAATTAGAAACCGAATTTTTTGGTCGATCTGAACTAAAATCAATTTTGAGAAAAAAACTGAAACCGAGTTTTTGTAAATTTGTACGAACGGTAGGTTGGAGGCAAAAATTGCTCGTTATTAGATGACGTGAAAGAATTGTAAGGTTTATTTTAAGCTGGAAGAAAATTCAATAAAAAATGTAGGAAAATGAAATTACTTTAGATGATGGACGCCTTCTGCAACAGTTTTGACCGCGTAGCGCTGCATGTGCTCCCAAAGTTGAGGATTATTGCGGCGGACATAGTAATCGGCAGCTGAAGCCCACGGCGCACCAACCCTTTGCAAAAGAAGCTGAAAATCCGAAACACAAGCTGATCATCAGATTCTGTAACTTTTCCACCATCCCCTGCTCATTTAGAAAAGCTAGAGAACTGATAGAATGAAGCACCTACTTGAACTTATCAATCAAAATTCAAATGAAGGAAAAAATAAATTTTTTTAAACATACAAAATACAAATGGCGAAAGCAGCAAGCTATGGGCTTAATTTAAAAATGCGATCTCGTAGTTAGAAAAGACGGTTTAAAAACATGTATTTGAAATCATATTACTAAGGCCTTGTATGTACGTTAAGGGAGCAGTTCGGGCGAATTAGTTCCACAAACTGAGGATTCGAGGAACAAGTTATAGGTAGCTAAGCTGTAATACTCCCGTCCAAAGGAAAAACGCCGTATGAGCATTCGAATGCCGCCAAATTTCCTCTTCAAAAATATTTATTCTTGAAGAAAATTATAAACCTTTTTCCTTGAAATTTTCGGATCAGATTAAGAACAACATTCTCCGAAAAATCTGACGAAATATACCTACACATTTTTCCGAAAATTCATGATTTTTCAAGGGAAACCTGGCAAAGTCTGAAGGCTCATAAGGCGTTTTTTCTTAGCACGGCAGGATAAGGTCCTGGAATAGGTTTGCCCGAAGTTCCACGATAACCGCACTGAAAAAAATGGTATGCTGTTTTAGCACCTAGGATGTCAAAAATGTGTCTAGCGATCCTAAGATGCCGCCTTACTGATTGCCCATGCAATTGAGTTTGCATTCATAGGATGTAAAGTTAACTGCGAGGGCAATAAAAGCAGTATCTCGGGATCACCAGAAACATTTTTGACATCCTTGATGCTGGAACAGCATACTATTTTTTTTTATGCGCACTCGCGGGGACAAGGCCGCAGTCCCAATAAAAAATCCCCAAAAAAGAAGGAAGGTTATGAGCTGGGGCTTACATTTCGATCATGATAATCGCCGACAGCTACTTGGAAGAACAAGCCAGCGATCAATGCGGCAATGTTGGCAGTGTAAGAGGCGACGAAAATGACAGAGAACCCTCCCCAGACATTGATGAGGAACTTGTTGGGCCAAGACTTGGGGGCCTTGAATTGAACCAGGTGACCGCACAGCAGCCCCCACATTACCCACAACGCCGAGGCCATACTGAAACATACGCACCATTTACGTTACAGTATCGGCAATCCTACAATTATTATCAATGACGTGGCGTGCTTTGCGATACATCCAGTTATCTGCCATATGGATCTCCGGAGAAGGATCCATACGCGCGCAGGGTCTTCGTAACGAACATCTTAATAATTGATCTTTCCCATATAGCTTCAAATGGGGAAATATCGATTATTTCTATCAAACCGATTTATATGTGGAGGTGAGAAATATGGAGTGTGCTCGTCAGTTCTCTGGCCGTAAGAGTGATTGAGAATGATAGCGCCAGTGACGTCAGCGGCAATGATCGAGCTGTGGCGCGAGGAAGAGATGGTCGTCGGGGCGTTTTAACACATTCAGTTGGCACATAGTTCTCTTTGCTCAATTTAAAATCCCGTTTTTCCAATTCTTCAAAAGGAATCACGCTCACTGACCACATTGTTTCTTATCCAGCTTTCTAGAGCACACTCCATATTTCTCACCGGCACATAGTTCTGTTTGATAGAAATACGTCGAATTGATCATTCACGCCTCGCCACTGCAAAAAATGCATGTAAGCAATCGTCAGGGACGCGTAGCATACATCGAATCATACTTTAATAATAAGTCGGTTGTGCTAATCACGGAGACACGCATTAATCGTTCAAGCTCACGGATTAGCAAAAAATGTTAAGATCTATTCATGCGCCTAGTTTTTACGTCCAATTTTAACAAGGATAGCGCCTTTTGAAAGACACGGTAAATGAAAGCTATCCGACAATAATTTTGCCTGAGGTTTCTCGCGAATTATTTTCACTCATTCAAGAATATTGCAAACAAATTGTAGGGGGGATATTTTGTTTAGTTTTCTTTCAGAGAGATAAAACGCAATCGGATATTCGTAACAATGAGCAATACCGATAGACACGCATTGACCCTAGCCGTCGATATGCAACAGCAATACATTTATTGACGGATGACATAACACACCTCACCGTGTTTTTCGAAGGACGATATTTCCATTAACTATGGAAAATGAAGACTTGCCGTATGGGCGAATATTATTTTTTGCTATTTTGTATAGATGAGATCTGATCTTAAATTCTGTGATAAAAGCAAGTGACCCACTGAAATTTATAAAAGAAAGCCTGCAACAGGCCCTCTGCTTAACGTATTTGTAGAACTTTCAGCACAACATTGGAGTTCTAATTGGACGTATTTCTATCAAACGGAACTATGTTCATTGTGACGTGAGCCCTATAATGCATATATTCTTATGGTCCTCAGGGCTCATGTTTTAATGCACATAGTTCCGTTTGATAGAAATACGTCCAATTTGCTCTCCATCGATCACTCTCGTGTATGACACGCTAGAGTTTCATTTGTTGAAGCGTCAAGGAGAGCATGCAGTCTGCGTAAGAGTTACTGATGCAGTGCATAATTAAATCAGTGATATCTGGGCTAAATGTTTCATCACTGCAGCTCAAGTATCACGTGCTGGAGGTACAGATGGTAAAGCAGATACATGTTATAAAAAAAAATGTCACACGCCGCCGGATTGCATTAAAAGTGATTCATCAGTTGGCAAATCCCAGGCATTGGGTCTGGCGAGAAAAAAGTTATTTCCTCTTTTTTTACCTTATTCGATTGAAAAATACGCGCTGGAATATACATTTACTAGGGTGCATTTAGAGGCAAAAACAAAGCGAAGTGCAATTTCCCGCAGGCTCCTGTTGAAGATGACCTTCAGAAAAGTTAGGTTCAGGAGAGAGTTAATTTCTTACATGACAGTCTCATAATCGATGATATGGTAACACTCGCTCTGATAAAACTTCCTTTCCATTCTGATACGATTTCCGTCGGAAAAACTGTGATATTTAAAAAGCACGCCTGCCAGCTAACGCCCAGTTGACTCCAATGCAGACCTCTGGTAGAGGTTTGAGGCTTCTCGATGGATTGGGTTTGGTGTGTCGTCAGCATCATATTGCTGGTAAGCTTTTTGATTTATGATTAACAAATACAGATGTGAAATTGTAAAACTTCTACAATCTCTACTTCAAAATCTTTCAGTCCATGATTACACCATATTTTTCAAACTTTCAAAAATGAAGTAAAAAATATCAAAGTTTGCTTCCAATTTTCTCTTGAACAATGAGACAATTTTAAAGATAGGTTCCAGTTTTCATTTTAAGAGATCAATTGTAGAGTAAAGCAGCCTTTGATGGGATTTTTCAGGTGCATCTGAAAAATTTGAGGAAATAAGAACGAAGAAGTTTTGAATCTTGCCGTTCAGGTTGACTCCATGGTCAGCGCGTCTGAATCTGGGTCAGTACCGAATCTTGGGAGTACGGTGAAAAAATTTCACTTACAGGATCTCCGAATAAAAATTGGATTACATTTTGCAATAAGAAACCACTATTTCTGACTTCTGCATAAAAGCACCTTCCTGCAGGGGCAAACCCATGGCTCATATGTTGTTTCTAAAATGAGCCAGAAATAGTGGTTCCTTATTGCAAAATGTGGTTCAATTTTCCTTGGCCTTAGGCCCTAAAATTTTGAAAAGCCTATATCGCATGAATGTGTCTATCCTTTGATGGTTAAGGACAATAAATAGAGTTCGCAGTTGGTTTCGGATTAAAAAGCGGAATATGAACAATTGAAACTGCAGTAAAAAAAGAAAAAAAAGGTCGAATAAATATTTCCCTACTTTTAACATACTTTAAGGAACATAACGACGGTGTATAAGTCGGCAATCACATGACTCGTTTGCGGTGTCTGAAAATCTCCGCCTCCATATTATTTTTTTCAAGGAGAACAAATTGACTTAATTTCTTGAAGTTTTTACAGAATTTTCTTTCTCACAGAGAAGAAAAATCATGACAGTTTTAAAGAATTGCCGTTGAGCAGATTTCCGCTTAAAAATAAAGTATGACAGGAAGTCTGCGACGTCGCAATCCGAGTTATGTGATAGCCGACTTACACCGTCGATATCCTTAAAAATTATTGCTCGTTCAATTATGTATTGTTCCTTGATTTCAAGGTCACATCCGGGACTGTCAAGAGCGGCGTATTCAATCGGCTTGTCGATGATGCCATTGAGGAAGAGAAACCTGTCATCAAGGTAATTACTGGAATTACTGGAATTAGCTGTCGGTATCCATGCTTGAAAGTTCAAGAATAGAACACGGAAGTGTAGCAGCGCTAAGTACATGAACAACGAGAAGTTGTTCATGTGTGCGTTCAAAACACGCTTATGAGTCGACGTCTTAGATACCTGTACTACTATAATGATTTTTTGCCGGAAAATGCAAACATAATTTAGTATTTCGCTCACTTAAAGTACTGCAATCAGGCAATGCTCTGCCTACTTTTATTCTGACAATCAGGTATAATTCGATGGTCGATGTAAAACATGCTTTTCTTACATTTCGACGTCGAAAATTTACGCTTGTGATCTATTACAAAAATCAACAAATAATTTTTGTTGATTTTCAGTGCGAAGTTCTTCAAATTTTCAAAAATATTTACACACTTTCAAAGAAATGTCTTAATAAGATACCAGTTGGAAAAAATATACCATAATCTGATATTTTGAACCGTTGCGGACACATGTTTAACATTATAGTCGCATTGAGAAATTCCTAAACTGAAACCCACATTTAGAGTTTTCACGGATAATTCCAAGTAAATATTTTTGCAAAAGACAATTTTAGCTTATATACATGCCCAAAGTGCAAAAGCACGTGTTTCAATTTGCAACAACGTAGACTTCCTGTCATACCTTATTTTTCCACTGGAAAACTAGTCAACGCAATTCCTCAAGAACTCCCGTGATTTATTTCCTTTATTAGCAGAATATTCTGTATAACTTCAAGCAAAAAAGTTGACTTGTTCCTCTTCAAAAAAATAAAAGAGGTGCGGAAATGTTGAAACACTGTGATGGAGATACTTAGTTTTGCACTTGGGCCATCGATATACATAAACCGGAAATATCAGCAGGCTGATTGTTGAAATTGATAGACAAAGCTATAGACAAAGAGGACAAAAGGGATATGGAGAGATCCCATTGGTGTACACGGGTGGATGCAATGGACAAAGAAGGTAGATAATGGACTGGCTATGGGGTCTCTGGTGGGTTGCCGTTAGTTAGTCTACAAATATTACCTCGTTTGTCCATTGCAATCACCCCCTTCTACTAATGGGATCCCTCCATATCCTTTTTGTCTTCTTTGTCTATCGTTTTGTCTATAGCTTTGTCTATCAATTTCAACAATCGGTCCGGAGGCTCTGATTACTTGGCCCCAATCAGAACCCACGAGAGACTCTATAGTATGGACGTATTTCTATCGAACGGAACTAAGCGCCAATTTGAGTTCCTTTTGAGGAATTTAGAATCCCGGATAGCGCGTTCTGTCAAACGGACCTAAGCAAGCGCCATGGAAAAGCATTGCGAGTATAGGACAGAATAAGCCGGACGCCCGATTCCGCCGCCAATCCAAGCCCCCCCTCTACCTTCCTCACCCTATGGCGCTTAGGTCCGTTTGATAGAAATACGTCCGTTAGTCCATCATTTTCTCCCTTAGTCTATAGGAACCACCCATTTCAACCGGATCGTTTCATAATGTCTGTCGCTTTGTCCATCAATTTCAAAATCAGCGCGCAGTACCCTCAAAGCAAAATTTGACATTTTTCGTCCGCAGTGTGCAGGGAAATTGTTAGCTGACAGCAGTTCTGGCCAGCACGAGGACACAGGGGCAAAGAGGCTGATTGACACGGACACGGACCAAAATCTGAAAGCAAGACTTTATCCGTCAGGCAACGCTTCTCCGACTCGCTACAATTCCTCGTCCAGCTACAGATCACCGTCCAGCGGCGGCGCCAGACCCTCGTCACCGGGCTTCAATTTTGCCGAATTTCAAAGACTTCGAAATCAACACCGGCAAGCCGCCGCGCAGAAACCCCAACAGAACCCTTGGGACCGCTCGGACTCTTTCAGCTCGACGCCGAGCCGGAGCTACGACCGCTCACGCAGCTGGGACAGGCAGCCGAGCTTGGACAGGTCACCGAGCTTGAGACGTTCGGATACCTTTGGTTCCGGTAATACTACACCTAAAGCCTGGTCGCCTACTCGATCTGTCAATGGTTCCGGATCACCTGCTCGGTCTCATTCCGGACTCGGGACAGTTCCGCGCTCTAATTCCGGACTTGGGTCACTTCCGCGGTCTAATTCCGGACTCGGGTCCCCTGGTCCCTATGGTTCCGGTCGTGCAACTCCGGGAGCGTACGGAGGGGCGGCGAGGGGAGGTTATCCAGGAAGAGGAGGTGGTGGAGGTTTCGGCGGTTATCCAGGAGGAGGGGGAGGTGGCGGAGGTGGCGGAGGTGGAGGAGGCTCAGCGGGCCAATCGGGTGCGAGTGGTCAAGGAGGAGGGGGAGGGGATGGAGGGGGCTACTACGACTCGACGTCGAAGTCGTTGGACTACGGAATAAAGAATTTCCCGGATATGATCGCGTACCAAGGAAAGGTGCCTGGGATCATCGGCAGATCGCGGGACGGGAAGACTTTGTACGCGGTTTGCGATGACTGCAAGAAGAAAAACCCGGGCAAGTTCGATCATATTAATTTCGGGAAACCAGGAGACAAGAATGGCTGGTGGGAGGACTGCAAAAATCCTTCCAAGATCCCCGCCTGACGAGGCTGAGGATGTAGTCCAGGCAACGGAGAATGAAATAGGGACTCGCGGCAAAAATTTTACTAGAAACATCATGTTGAAAGATTTCGCTGTTTGGTCAAAAAATAAAAAATGGACGTATTTCTATCAAACGGAACTAAGCGCCACAGGGGGAGGACGGGAGAGAGGGGCTAAAATTGGCGGGTGTTGCGAAACCCGATGCTTGTTCCATCCTATACTAGCGATGCTTTTTCATGGCGCTTAGTTCCGTTTGACAGAACGGAGAACGCGCTATCCGGGATTCTAAAATCATTAAAAGGAACTCAATTTGGCGCTAAGTTCCGTTTAACAGCAGTACGTCCAAATAACCCAGATATTTTCAGAAAACAAGACTTTAGGCAATTTCTTAACGTAGCGGCTTTAGCGGCGGAGAGATCTTCACACCAACGTGAAATTCTAATTCAGCGTTCGAAAATGCAAGGGAATCCCTCAATAAGAAGTTTTTCGGGAAATTTTCTCCAAGAATGTCCCTATTGTCTTGATAGAGCAAGCGCGCGCGGACGTCTGGCGCCATGTCATGTGATTTTCTGAAAAAATCTAGGTGTATTGAGGGATAGTTCTCACTTTTTATAATAAATTTCCTTCTTTTGAGTGTGAAATGTTCGGGGTTCACAATTCTTGTACTATTTCATGAAACCCCATCATTTGAAGAATAGAGATTCGACAAATAAAAGTCAAACTTGAAGTTTCAGCCAAATATTTTATGTCCGACCTTCCTGATTGACTCGATCCACTGTGCGACGCCTGGATGCAACTATTTCACCTCAAAGAATATGCTTGTTGCATGCAGAGACAATTGAAGGCGTTCTGTTTTTTTGCCGCTTCGCTTATCGGAGGAGACGCCCGCGGTATACTGTTCCAAGACTTTCAAGTCGTCAAAAAAAATAGTTTCGGGGTGCAAAGATATTTGATACCAAGAAAGTTTAACCGACTGACGTTATTGCTTGAAAATGCAGAGGTGAGGCGGAGGCTCACTTTCCAGTGGCGTGGTGTGCTTCGATATACATCGATAATTCCCCATTTGAGGCTATAGTAAAGAATCGATTATTAAGGTGTTCGTTGCGAACACCCTGACAATCGATCCTTTTCCACAGGTTTAAATGTCAGATCAGTCGATATATCGCAAAGCACGCCAGGCCACTGTCACTTTCATACGGATGGTGTAAGTAAATAACTATGCATCTTCGATTGCAACGTTGAATATCTCTGTTCACGTTTCATTTGTTTTAAAGGAATGCTTACCAAAACAGTTTGCCTCGATTTTTCCGGCGCATTTCTTTCTTTTGTCTACAATTGGACGTATTTATGCTATATGGAACTATTTGCGAGTGGAAAGATGGTGTGTGCTCGTTAGTGTTCGGGCCATAGGAATGAATGGGGATTTAAAAGCGCCAGTGACGTCAGCGGCAACGAAGCCGTCTTCGTCGTCGTGCTCGCTCGTCTTTAACTCATAAGCCCTGTCCACAACGCTATAGACACATGCCCACGGCTCACGAGTCTGAAATCCCGCTTTTAAATTTCTCAAAAGGAACTATATCCACTTTTACATTGTGTCTTATCCAGCTTCCACGAGCACACCCCATCTTTCCACTTCCACATAGTTCCTTTTAGCATAAATACGTTCAATTATTCCAGGAAAATTCAAAAATAAATTTTCGAAAATTTTCTTGTCGAAATAGATAGACCTACATCTTACCACTGGATTCTTAAAAAATGACCTAAGTACGTAAAAAATCGAATAGAAATTCCGAGTCATTCAATATATAAAAATATAAACCTCGATTCGACAATAGCATGGGAAGATGCACGAATTATAGGAAGCTCAGCGAACGAATAAAAAATACATTATACATTCAGATAAGACAGAAATATTTAGCCAATATTTAAACAATATTGTCTTGATATTTATGCAAACATTGGGCCCATATTGGTTAAATATTGAGCCAATGTTAAAAGTGTATACCATATTTCCTTTTGGCATAAACACTGTGCCAATACCTACTTTAAAATACTGTGAAAATATTTGTATAATATCTTGGGTAAACATATTATTTTTAAAAGTCCTAAATAAGGATTCTTTAAATATTTTTTTAAAAAATAATTTTGATTAAAATAGTATCAAAATATGGTCAGTGCTGTGTAAATATTGCGACAATACTGACAATATCTGTCCAATATTGTAAAAATAATTCGAAATTCTTAAACGTTGCAGTAAAGACGCCTATTTTACTATTGGGGCCGTCGATATGAAAAAACACGAGGTATGAAAATATTTTCGCGGAAGGTGCTTTGCAACATTATTTGCCACTTGCGGTCGTGAGGTGGCTCAGGGGAAAATGTTTGCAAAGAGAGACAGCGAGATTAAAACTCGGTGGATTTCGGTCGGTGCGGGGGAAGAGGCATACCTGAAATTTTTGCTGCGCTGCCGACCCCAGGGATTGAGGCCGAAGGGACTGAGCCACTCGTAGATGGCGACGGCGACCGCGGTGACGTGGAGCGAGGTGAATATCGCAATCCAGAGCTCCGGGCTGAAAGGCAACAGAAAGGCGAGGAGAGGAATGTCGTTGCGCTGCTTGGGCGCCGCCAGCAGAGACACGCCGCTGAAAAAATACGGCGCTGTGAAGTCGATCACCTCCGCCCTGAAACATTCACACGACGAGATCGAATCAAGGAAAACCTCTATCAAAATAATCAGCCAAGGTGTTTCATGTTTTATTTCAAGCGTAAATTCAGAGACAAGAGACCCTTCGTTGGCATCTTAGCGACAGGTGCAAGCTTTCACCTACTTTCGATGCACTCGATGTATTTAAGCTGATTCTGGTTAAACCAGTCAGTCCAAATGATCAAATCGCCACCGCATCAGCCAAAAAACATTCCACATTTTCTAATTTTCGCGCATATTCCGTTTTTTAATCAGAAAACCAAGCAACATATCAATGGCGAAACTGCAGAAATGCGTACCTCGGTTTGCGGCGTTGCAGATGCAGACTTCCTTTCATACTTTATTTTTTAAACGGAAAATTACTCAACGGCAATTCCTTAAAACCACCGGATTTTTCTTCTCTGTGCGAAAAAAATTCTGCGAAAACTTCAAAGAATGATGCCAATTTGTTCTCCTTTAAAAAAACAACATGGAGGCGAAAATGTTCAGACGCCGCAAACGAGACGTGTGATTGCGCACTTACGCCGTCGAACTAATCTTATGGCTGGCACCTAAATCAGCTGGACGTATACACGGAGAAAAACCCTCGTGCGTGGGACCCGAAGTTGAGGTCAGATGGATCTCTGAAGTTTTCGGATCACGTATCGAAAAACTTCAGGTCCAGCTGCCGAAGTTCGGGTCAGACATCTGAAGTACTTCGAAATATACCGAGGGGTTCGGGTCACACATCTGAAGTACTCCGATACATACCGAAGTGCCTCAATGTCTGACCCGAACTTCAGCAGCTTTACCTCAAGTTTTCGGATGCGCGATCAGAAAACTTCAGAGATCCATATGACCTCAACTTCGGGTCCCATGCACGAAGTTTTTTTCTCCGCGTAGTTGCGATCGTGATACTTTTTTTTTTTTCAGTGTACGTTTCAACGATGAGCCAACTTTAAAAGGTTCCGAGCATTGTAATTGTGTAGTTCCTTGCGGTTTTGCCTTCGTCTATTAGCGGTTTTATCGCGTAACTTTCGAAAGCTCACACGGAGAAAAAAACTTCGTGCGTGGGACCCGAAGTTTAGATCATATGGATCTCTGAAGTTTTCGGATTGAGCATCTGAACACTTTAGGTCCAGCTGCTGAGGTTTGGATCATGCATCTGAAACTTCAGTTCTTATATCTGAAGTACTTCGGTTCTCACATCTGAAGTACTGTAGATGTAAGAACTGAAGTTTCAGATGTGTGATCCAAACCTCGACAGCTAGACCTAAAGTGTTCAGATGCTCAATCCGAAAACTTCAGAGATCCATACGACCTAAACTTCGGATCCCACGCACGAGGTTTTTTTCTCCGTGGCAGATACCTGGTCTGTGTGCTTACCTGACGCTACTGACGCTGAGGGCGGAGAAGGACATGTGAGCTGCACCGGAAACGAGGTCGCCGACGATCCCGTTCCAAGCTGAGTTCCCGTCCTTCATGATCTTCGTCCCGTAAGAGCCATCAGCGACAAGGTAGAGGTGGAAATCAAACTCCAGCTCCTCGGCCACGTTTTCCAGCAAATCCATCGTCAATCCGTAGCAACAGTTCGTCACGTACTTATTCCTGAAACACGGTTCACTCTCAATTAAACTTTCTGAAACGGCAGCCTGTGACAATGGTGATAGTAAAAACATGGGAGAAAAAACGGGAAAAGAGGCTTAAAAATTACACATAAAAATCCGAGACGTTTCGGCCCAAAACTGAGTCATTTTCAGTTGGAAGAATAAATATAAAATATAAAAATATATAAAACATTTTGTATGGAAAGTCAAGGTTTTACCACTATTTCGCATGGGATGTATTTGGATTCCTCATACAATACATTGGAAAGCTAGAAGTACAGAATCGGATATGGAAAAAAAAATTATTCACGCAGGCGTACTATACATTCTGCAATTTTATTTTGAAGCGCTATTTTTTTCATCGTCTTTAGATGTCTCTGAAAGAATGGTATGCTGTTTCAGCACCTAGGCTGTCAAAAATGTGTCTGGTGATCTTAAGATGCTGCCTTGGTTGCCCACTCAATTGAATTTACATTCACAGGATGTAAAGTTAACTGAGGGGGCAGTAAAGGCAGCATCTTGGGATCACTAGACACATTTTTGACACCCTAGATGCTAAAACAGCATATTGTTTTTTCAGTGTGCCACAAGATAGAGGTGAGAATCACCTATATAGATCTCTGAGACCCATGTTCCTTAGCACGGCAGTATATCTGTCCGATCCATCGGGGTGATAAATCACCCAGTTGAAACGTTGAAAACAACCCACGTTTCATACATCTCAAACTAGGCATTAGTCCACGAGAGAGACAGGCAAATCCATTGGCGTGGCGTGCTTTGCGATATATCGATTAACTGTCTTTCAAACCTATGGAAAAGGATCGATAAACAGGGGGTTTGCAGCGAACACCTTGATAATCGATTCTTTACCATAGCTTCAAATGGAGGAATATCGATAATCAATCATTCACGCCACGCCACTGGAAACTTAGGCTTTCGTAAGCATAGCGGGGAGCGGGTACACCCTCAAAATCGTCCAATGAGTCCGGAGCTCATGAAATACAGGAAGGAAACACGAAATAGAAGGAGCTCAAGTAATAACGGGCGAGGGGCGAGGGTTGGGAATTATTTCGTAATTTATACCAAGAGGTAAATGGTTGAGCCCGGGCGGGCGCGTCTCCACGAGACGGAATCGTTTGCTCCTGTGATACGTGACCCCTTTTTCGACGCCGAGTGATTTGCAAGCTCTCCTTCCCGAGTGAGGAGCTTACGATAACCAGGTTAGGGCCCCCGCGCTAAGCTCTTCATCCGCCGGGCCAAACGATTGATGAAACTTGAACAATAATTCGCGGGCGTTAACAGCCGCTGTTCCTGAAATTCCAAGGGAATAAAAAAGCGCGGGGCGTATGTGGTGCCGGGCGCGGGGCGGGGGCGGGACGAGCTGGTCGTTATGTATGTGGCGTTGTCACCGACAGCCAATCTCGGTTGTCATGTCGTCGCCGCGCCAGTGCTGCCGTGCTAAGGAAAAACGCCGTATGAACCTTTAGGCGTTGCCAAATTTCCGATGTCAAAACCCCGATTCGTTGATAAATTTACGTTTATTTTTCTTCCAATTTTTTGGATAATTTTGTTCGCGATTTCACCTGAAGTTCCAGAAAATTTAAAGGAAAAATATGCATAACTTTTCTTAAAAATAAACGTTTTATCGAAGGAAATTTGGCAACTATCGAATGCTCATACGGCGTTTTCCCTTAGCACGGCAGAGTGGAACTACCCACTCCGGAAAATGCCTCTCGCGTCGAGTGATTCGAGGGGCGTGAAAAGTGACCCGTCCCACCGCGCCCTATACAGCCTTTGTCACCGGAAAAATCGCGATTCATTGAAATAAAGTTGCGAGCGAGCGGCGATAATATCGTCAAGAGCACCGACGCATGAACGATTATCCTCACGGTTGAATTTTTACTAGAGGGTATGCCCCCTGGCCGCTACGTGGCCCAACTCCCGGGACGCATCGCGCAGTCAAGGAGGAGGCGTCTTGGTGTCATCATATCTCCTATGATGGAGTGATAAACTTTGTAAAAGTTCAATAGCGGGCTCTGGAGGAGTGAGACACATTTTTGAAGTTCCATCGGCAACAGGACTCGATGGGCTTAATCCATTCTAATCCAACCACCTCAACGAGAGGGGAGGGGGGGAGGCTCGTGCCAAAAATGGCTGTTTTCACACTTTTCCCTACCCACTCCGCCATTCCTCTCCATATTGGAAACAGGAATGAACCCCACTCTCCCCACTCCCCCACACTCCCCCACTCCCTCCACACTCCCCCACTCCCCCACCACCCAGATCGGCGAATGAGATGAGAGCCTTTTCCTCGCATTTGATATTGCCACAATATCGAGGGCTAAATACGTAGGGAGGACATATCGGTCCTCTTTTGACGTAAAGAATTAACTGTCCATGACTTGAGCCCTATTGTTCATATAAGTCCAAGTGTCTCGGGGCTCACGTGGGGAACGCGATGTGCCTTTGCGTAATAGAGACGGTGATATTACTTATACCGTTCCTGAGAGGGGCGGCAATTGTAAACCAAGAGCACTTTTCTCCTGACGAACTTACGACAAACGACGCGACGCCCACTCGACTTTATTCTCAGTTCATTTTGACTTGAGCCCCGAAACGCATGGCACCATATGGACAACAGAACTCATCCCGAAAAAAGGTTGCGTCCTTTCGTCAGAAAAGCGAGGATTTCAGTCCTTCTCGAGGAGAGGATTGAGTGATCGACTGTCGATATTTCCCCATTTAAAGCTACGGTAAAGAATCGAGTATGGGGTGTTTGTTGGGACACCGTGATTATCGATCCTTTTCCATAGGTTTAAATGGCAGATCATCCGATATCGCAAAGCACGCCACGCCACTGCCGTACACTCACGTGTGAGCCATTTAAAATTTAAATATCTGCTTCTCTTCTCCCTCCCTCCTAGTCCATGCACGGTTCTGCACATGGCAGTTATCTGATAACTGACTGACTCCGCCACTCTCAGATTTATCAGTCAAGGCAGTCAAATGGACGTATTTCTGTCAGACGGAACTATGTGCATCGTGACGCGAGCCCTGTTATGAATGTATTCTTATGGGTCTCAGGGCTCATGTCTTAATGCATATAGTTCCGTTTGGCAGAAATACGTCCAAATCACGCTCGGGTTCTTTCGAGGGGTAAGGAGGAGGGGGTTCGATGCGGATCCCGGCCGATCTCCGTGCTCGGATCCATCGATGGAGAGCAAAACCTCCAACAGCACTTTTTTCGTTTGATAAGTGGGTTTGAGACGATATATCAAGCATCCTGACGCAACGAGAAGAAAATTTCTGTGTTTCCTATGGACCACGCTTCACTACTCAATTCATGGAACGTGCTTCTTGGTCCAAAAATGCCAAAATACTAAACACCTAGTGACTGCCGCACGAATGATAAAAACATGTCAAAGTCCATGCTAAATGGACCGCGTAGTGGAAAGGAATTAAACCACATCAGCTGTAGCCTGTGTCACACTATCAAAATACTCCATCAAAATGTCAAGGTCAAGTGCTGTGATTGGTCCAAGTCATCGAATAAGCCAATCACAACACCTGACTTCGATATTTTGATGACCAGCTTTGATATTGTTACACAAGCTTATCTCCAAATTTACCTAATAGGGCAATTTAATTTTTTACGAGAGATAACGTTTGTGCGGATTCCTTTGAGAATTTTGAGGAATTTGCTTCGCACTATGCAGAAAATTCACTGTTTGCACAAAAATTCGCGGAGCTGTTTTCATGTAAAAAAAGTTTAATTAGCAAACTTTTTCGGACTTAAATAAGAGTCAAGACTGCGAAATATGTTTTAAGACAACAACTGCTTCAAAATTCAGCAATTAGCAAAGATTTTCAACTGCAAGGATCTGCAAATGCTTCATGGTATTAGAGAATAAGTAAATGAAAACCTCAATATGACAGAGATCACGGGTACGAGGCTATACTGCCGTACCAAAGAAAAACGCGGTATGAGCTTTCATACGTTGCTAAATCTCCTTTGATATGTTATGAATTTTCAGGAGAGCATAAGAATAATCTTCTCCAATTTTTTTTGATAATTGTAATCGCAATTTGAGTTAAAGTAGTTTAAAGTTTGACAAAAAAATATTCATAACCTTCCCCAAAGAGAGACTTTTCATTGGGAAAAATTTGGCAAGGTGGAAATCCTCAAACGGCATTTTTCCTCGCGGCGGCGGTGTAGAGCGTCATGATGCTGTAAGGGAGAAATAAACAAAAGGAGAGCCGTCAAACACAGTGTCAAAACATATGGACGTGTGTTTGTAAAATGGATGGCTTGTGACATGATTCCGCATGAGAATCTGTTCTTGACGAACGGGACGTCAACTTTGAAATGCGGGGAGGCTGCGTTGTCGCTCCGACGGAACAGGAACAGCACAGTGGCGTGACGTGAATTGCGATATATCGATTGTTATGCCATTTAAACCTACGGTAAAGAATCGATTATTAAGGTGTTCGCTGCGAACATCCTGTTAATCGATCCTTTTCCTTAGGTTTAAATGGCATAACAATCGATATATCGCAAAGCACGCCACGCCACTGGAACAGCACACGAATGAATCTGATTCTTCACATCAGTGGCGTGGCGTGCTTTGCTGTGAATCGATTGATCTGCCATTTAAACCTATGGAAAAGGATCGATGAACAGGTGGCATCTTGTGAATCGATTCTTTGACAAAGCTTCAAATGAAGAAATATCGATAATAGATCATTCAAGCCTCGCCACTGTCTCACATTCGATATCCCTTACAAAACAATTCGAGCAACCTGGAGAGAGAAGCCGCAATGCAAACACCGCTGTGCTCAGAGCTTAGACTGACAGGCAGTGTATTTGTCAAGAACGTATCTTGATTTCTGCATGAGCCCCAGGAAGTGTGGATTTATATGTAAAACGAGGCTCAAGTAAAAATTGAGATACGTCATCACGTCAGAGAAGCGCCGTCGCGAGGAGCATCGAACAGACTGATT